GGGACAGTGGTGTCCTCCTAAGCAGTTTTGCAGAAAAGGACCTGGGCAGGGGCAGATGGTCCTTGCAGACAATGAGTTGAGCCCAGTTGAGCAGTGTGCCCTTCTGATAAGGAACACTGACAGTACTCGGGGCTCCTTGAGCAAGTGTGGAGCCAACAGGCTGAGGGAAGGGACTGTTCCCCCTGTACAGCACTCAGTGAGCCCAACTTGGCAGCAGTGTGTCCAGCTTTGGGCTCCCTGGGGCAAGGCAGGCATGGACACTGTGGAGTGAGTCCAGTGGAGAGTCACCAAGATGACAAAGGGGCTGGAGCACAGGGTAGAGGAGGGAAGGCAGAGAGAGCTGGGCTTGTTCAGCTGAAGAAGAGATCCATGAAGGGCAGTCGTACTGCAGGGTGCAACTACCAAAGGGGAGAGTATGGGGAAGGCAGGGCCAGGCTCTGCTTGGAGGTGCACAGTGAGAGGACAGGAGACACAGGCTGCCACCAGGGAAACTGCAGTTATTTGTTAGGGGAAGAAAAACTTCACCACCTTGAGGGTGGTCACACACAGAAATGGGGCCTGGAGGAGCTGTGGAATCCCCGTTGTTGGAGATATTCAGAACTCAACCTGGCAGGGCCCTGAGCAACCAGTTCTGAGTTGGCCCTGTTCCAAGTAAAGGTTTAAACCAGATGACCTCTAGGGGTACATTCCCACCTTAAATTGTCTGACTGTCCATGAGATAGCAGCCAAGTCTCTGTCACAATTGTAGTATGAGTTATTGATGCAGTGTATATCCATACTGCAAACATACTTCATTTAATGCACCATTGGCATATATATGACATAGCACAAGCATCAGTTCAGATTAATTGCCCTTCTTGTCAGGGTATTGAGAAAAGGCTGTTAGGCAAAGAATTATGCTAAATTTCTTTCATAGCTTTGTTTCTCAGCAGAGTAAACTGGCCTGTACTGACATCAGTGTATTTTCAGTTTGACTGCTGAATATGGCTCTCTGTGTTTTGTATACAACTTATTTTGTCATCAGTATATCTATATTTATACACAAATGCTACCTATGTGTTTTTCATATTAGTTATGCAATATATTCATAATTTCTTATTTATTCCTCCTACATTTCTGTTTTGAGTGTATGCTTGCAGTACAAAAATCAAAATGTTAAGTAAGTCTTTCTGTAAGCTCATTATCGAGTTTGTTTGGCATTTGCTCTGAATTTTGTCCTGTTGGCAGTAGAGAAACTGAGTGGATGTTGGAGCCATTCAGTCTAATTCTTTTTCTGCTGGAAAAGGCTGTAGGAATATCCTGTGACCTTTTGTTTAACTTCATTTATGAAGTTTTGTTCTCATGGTGTTTCTAATAGCATGTTCAGTAATACAGCATTACAAAATTGTGCAACACTGCTGGGGGGAAAAAAGAAATCCAAACTCCTTTTTAAAGCAAATAAGTACTTTTAATTTTTTTAGGACCATAATACCTCGATTAGAATTGTTGTAATAAGCTTTTTTGTTTAGTTTGGTAGATTAAATTTATCAGTCCCATACTTTTTAGAGTACTTATTGATCTTGTAAACTGATAGTTTATCAACAACTATGCAAATTCGTACTGAAGTACTGATAGCATTAGCTTTGTTTTTAAATGGATGATCTGGCAAGATGTCTGTTGCAAGGGAGAACATCTGCATCAGAAGCTTGTGGAAAGTTCTGATGGCTTCTGTTTTGATGGAAGAAAGCAGAGAAATTGAAAACCTTCTATTACAATTCCAATTGTTCTTCATATTTAGAAAGTGAGTCTGAAGATAGTTCAGATGATGAACCTTTAATTAAAAAACTGAAGAAACCACCCACAGATGAAGAAGTGAAGGAAACTGTCAAGAACTTGTTGGCCAATGCAAACTTGGAGGAGGTCACAATGAAACAAATTTGCAAGGAGGTAAGCAAATATGATTTTTCAGTCTGTCTTTAGGCAGTGTATTGTTTGTGAACTGACTTTTATTATAATTTCAGATGGAGGCTTGTACTCTGCATCATGGTTCAGAAACTAAGTAGTTTTGCATTGATTTACTTAATTACTAACATCTACAATGAGAGCTTTTATCTTAAGGTATACAACACTGATACAAACTTTAGAAAGGAAATACCCAAAGAAAAATTAACTACATGGAAAGTAGCAGTATTACCTCCAAAACAACTGCCACATTTCTCAGTTGAAAATATTTGAGATGTTGAGACAGTGGAGCAGCTTGTTGCTGTCTACAGGGGAGGGCTGTGTCCTGCTCCCTGTACATTTCTGCTGCCCACCTTGCTCTCATTCCTCATATGTCCTCTTTGAGTCTGTTCAGCTGCCATCTGTCAGCAAAAATTGAATAGTTCTCAGCTGAGTTAGTGAGTTGGATCAGTTCAGCAAGAAATCCATTATTTGTCAGGACAGGTAGGAACCATGTGGCCAGAGAAGGGAAAGGTGGGAAAAGTGACCAAAACAGAGAAAATGCATTTACCTTGATATTTTCTGCAGTCAGTTAGCTCACATGTTTGGGTTTCCCGGTACCAAGAAGTAGTCTTGAGAAAGTTAAACGAGAAATTATTCTTATGAGAAAATTGCATGTTTATATTCTGTGCAAACTTTTTGTCGTGTTTATAGTAATTCTAGAAGTCTGAAATTTGGTACAGTGTAATGAAATGCCCTGTGTTGGCATCTGGTTTTTGTTCCTTTAGTCCTCTAGCATCCTGTTAACCAAAGAATAGCTGTAGAATAGCACTCAAATATGCTGACTATTCTGTTAGTCTCTTGAAAGGATAACAATTCTACTTATTATCAGATCCCAAGGCTTACTTATTTTTTATTAATTGTTTAGCTTTCCACACTAATGTAGGGATATCTGACTACTTAGAGAGCACTCTAAACAAAGCTCAGAGAATTCTTACTTGTGTGACATGGCAAGCTAGGCATTTCAGTTTGTTGGTGTGAAAAATTACAGTACCAGTTTAGTCAGTGACCAAATATAAAACAATACATGTATTTAAATATTTATGTGGTCAAAATAAGGACAGGAAAATAAGCCTGTCTCTTTCCATAACTAACAGAGGGTATTTTGGCTGTTGTAATACTAGAAGTACACAAACAGTTTTTGCCCTAATTTCATTTAAGCTCCTTGTATTCATACAGTGCATTGAATGAAAGTAATTTGAGGTTTGTTTTTTGGTTTTACTTTTTTTAGGTCTATGAAAAATATCCTAGTTATGATTTATCTGACAGAAAAGACTTCATTAAAAAAACAGTCAAAGAGGTAAAGACTTTATCATTTAGAAAACATTCTGGGTTGGGTTGGGTTTTTTTCTTCAGCCTATTAGCAACTGGCCTGGCATCTTGTTACACTAATTTTAATAGCCTCCTGTATAATATTGGAAGTTTAGTGCTCTGCTAAAACTTAAAACCTTTGATTTTTGGTTTTGGGGTGTTTTTTTCCCTTTTATATCCCTCTTTAAAAAAAACAATTGCTTCATACTCTATTTTCTTAGCATGCTGCTACTACTCTTGTGAATTTTTTGGCAAGCAGAACTAAAAGTATCATAATTTTTGATAACTATTACTCTGAAAGCTACGAGTTTGCTTTAAATTACAATCTTGTCTGCAAAATGCACTCTTAATTCATGCACCAGCCACATACACTCATACATAACAATGCATGAGGTTGTACAGGCTCTGCAGACCTGTAAGTTAAAGCAAAAGGGAATACAGACAGATAGCTTTTCTCTCTGTCTGTGCTCCTGGTAAGTACATTTATACTGATCTTGCCTTTGAGTTTGCTTTGCTGAAGATTAGGTGTTATCTACTGCATTCATGACACAGGGTTTACTGTCCAATCTGTGGTTGGTAATTTATAAAAAAAAAAATGTGCTTACTTTTGCTTCCCCTAAAACTAAAAATGGAACTGTAAAAGTGAGGCTCGCGTAGAGAAGTTAGTAAAGTAACTGTTCTTTTTCCTGTGGGTTCATTTGCAGATGTTGATATATGGCTATCTAGAATAGCTGTGTCTATGGGATGTGCATACATGTGTCACTATCATGAGAGAGCAATTTGTCTGCTGTAGGGGATGTTCTTGGGGTTTTTGTGATAGCAAAAGCAGAGTGTGTTTTCTTGATAGTTTGGTACAAAAGGAGAGGTTGTATGTAATTGGATTGAGAGAAAGGAGGAAACTAATACACTTCTACACTAATACACTTCTCTTTTCAGTTGATCTCATGATCTGATTTGACTGTGGGCAATGAAGATTCCTGGTTTAATGTTCCCATGGATTTGAAGATCTGATAGGCACCAGCAAAAAGAATGTGTCTTACCCTCACGGTATTTAGTCAGAGCTAATTCTGCTGATCTAATGTTAAGAGTGTTAATGTAAATTGCTTTGTGTATCTTTTTTTTTCTTTTTAAACAGAACTGCATTTGATGCAATTTTTAGTTGAACATACTTAAGTTTCATGCATGGCAGTAAATGTTCCCTTTTTTATAGTTTTGTACATTTTGAATTGCGTTGTATAACTAGATTCATTAGAAGCCATCATAGCTTTTTAGAGTGGATTACTAGCTTGCAGGAGACTTTAAAATCAAGTAAGATGAAAGCTGCTTATCTACACGTTTACATGCAGAGACTGGAATATTGCAGTATTGGTTGCAAAGATATTCTGAAGACATATTCATTCTGAAAATAATAAGAGTTAATCACATGTTAATCTCTTATATTCTGATACATTCTACAGGTGCAGAATTATTCTGAATATAGATTACAGTCTTGCATGTGTAGGCATTGAGAGAACTATCAAAGCGTGGTATCTAATTGGCATATAGATGTTATTTTTGTACTTTCAAAAGGCTTTTTGTTGTGTATATAAAGTTATTTTAAGTTGCTTTATGCAAATCAACTTTTTAATCTTGTTGTCTTTGAATTTGTGACATGAAATGTCAATGTTCAGCAGTGAGGCGTTGATGGAAAGTGGTATGCAGAAGTTTCATGAAGTTACAAATGAGCCGAGGTTTCACCATGTTTGTCCCATCTTACCTTGTACAGAAACTAAACTGTAATTTTATACCTGTAGTTTAACTTTGTACAAAGACTACAGACATTGTTTCAGTGTCTTGGATGTAATAAATAAAATCCCTCCAAAGCTGATAGGAAAATTTCTAAAGTTCACTTCGCAAAAAATCTTCTACGTGAGCATCTTGACTTGGTGACCCAGCATCTCTCAGAAGTAGGTATCTGACATGTACAGCTGGGAGGCTTTGACAGCTTTGGAAATCCACAGTGGCGCTTCCGAATCAGACAGCGCTGATGTACCTATGCGTGGTTAACCTCAGGCTTTTCTGAACCTGAGCCTTGGTGCCTCAACATGGACAATGGTACTTTTAAGCCTGCAGTCCTGAACTTTGGCTGGCAGCTTTTAGGATCGAAGTGAACTCGTTGCATAAGTTTTTATTGTTTGGGTTTTCTCTCCTCTACACCTTGTTGCTGATATGGGAAGTCTTACACTTAAAATCATGAAACTAAGAGTTGTCGAAATGTGGGCTGCCATTAACACCACGAGCACAGACTCCCTCTGACTAGTATTGCTGGAAAGACAAAGTGTATTTTTCTGAATTTTGTTATTGTACAGTTGAGAAATAAGGGTTCATACATGATCTAAATTCTGAAATTGTTCAGCCAGTTAGACTGTTCATCTTCACAGACTTCTGAATTTCTTTATGTGTAATCATTTATAATAAGGCTGAATGTAACGGGGATTTTTTGTATTCAATAAATGACTTTCACAAAAATGTAAATCAATTTTGATCTAATATTTGCTTACATGTATAGTAAAAAAAAAACCCCAAACCTGTACATAAACAAGGTTGTTTGTCTTTATCTCATCTGCTAGAAACTACTGGCTTCTCTGCTTGGAAGATAATACTGGTGAAATGTATGTCCTTGCACCAGGATAAGAATTTGATCAACCTCTTCTGTGAGGTTGATCTTGTTTTGGTTTGGTTTGTTTTTTTGCTGTTTGTTTTTCTCTGAACTGTCTTAGCAGAAAGAGCACTTTTTCACTTGCAATTAAAAACATCAAAAACTTCCAAGTCATGCTTAAGAGCAGAAAGTTACTTATTTTAAGTTTTGTTGGATTTTCCGATTGATATTTTAGAAATACTTGAACTGCCTTTTGATTTTAATGTAAATATACTAGCCAGTTTTAATTATGTGGGTCAGAAAGTGTCTTTAAGATGAGCAACTCCCAAGTATAAACTTTTTTTTAATAGTGTAAATTCTACTTACAAAGGGATAGCAGACTTCTGTTTATGCCACTTTGGAATTGCACAGCTAGAATGGGAATGAACTTGACATCCTTTAAATGCTTTGTTTAAATTTCTTAACAACTCAATATAGTCCTCAACAGAGAAGAAATGTGAGCTGTTTTCCTGATAATACATACCAGTCTGGATGCAGCTGATACAAGATTCCAGTTCTTTCTGCAACTGGGAGAAAGGATGCAAGACAATACTAAAAGGTAAATAAAATGCCCTGCTTCTCCTGATTCTATTGAATTAGAAACACAGATTATTAAGGATTTAAATCCTGTACAAAGAGGTTGATAAAAAAATAGAAATGGGTTAACTGGATAAAAGGTAACTGAATAAACAGTTATACCTCTTCAGGCATACACCTTCCAGATGCTTAAGGTAATGCCCTCACCATTGACTCTAACAAAAATAGTCCCAACATCTTGATTTGATTGCTTACAGCATAATTCCTACAATCCAGTGTATTGGTTCCTCTGTTTAGTTAAGTCTTTGGTATTCAGTATTTTAGTTGGTGACCTGCAAAACCACATAAGTTAACCTGAATGACTTGCTGATACAAGGAGCTGTTCTTATGAGTGAGCTTGACCTTTGAGGTCACAGCGTATGGGCCCTGTAGGATAAGGAAGATGGAGAGAATGAGGGGGGGGGAGAGAGAAAGATCAGAAATTTTGAGTGAAGAGAGGTTACATGTCTTTAGGAGCTATGTGGTAACCCATGGTATACTGCTCAGGCTTGTCTAACCAAGATGAAATTAGGAAGACACAACTTTAAGTGCCATCTCACTTTTGTCCAGAAGCTCTGGACTAACAGCCCTCTTGTACTTGAGCAGGCTGCTTATAGGATCTGTGTTCCTTCTGCATTATCCTGTTATAAGGCACATGACAAAACAAGATCTAAGAATTGTCTGAGTTTATATTAGCCACTGCTAAGCTGGTCTTAAAACTAACCCTTTTGGAAGGCCAGTGCTTAATGTAGACAAATAATACCCCTGGCTGTCAGCATGGTGATTCCAGTAAGGTTTATTAGCTCTGTTGCTGATTTAGAGAGAGGATGGCTCATGACCACTGTGCAGATCTAATCTTTCCAAATCAGAGAGTTAGCTATAATCAGCTGTATTTGTTTGACCTGAGCTAGGTGAAAGCATTGGAGAAAATAGTTCTGGTGGTAATTTAGGGAAAAGAGTGGAAAAATCTATAAGGCACCTGAATACTGTCTGAAAAACTTGCACTAACACATCTAGTATAATCAATATTCCAGTTGCTGAAAAACATCTTGAATGTTGGCAGGTGTGGTGTTTTCCTTTTGCAAAGAAGTGTCTTTTCTGCCTTTGAATTCAGAACTATTTAGTAAAGCAAGAAGGTGGAAATTACAGGTCTAAAGATTTATTCTTGACTTGCAGAAAAATGGGCTGACAGGAATCTCATAAAGGTCAACAAAAACAAATGCAGCATCCTGCTTCTGGAATGGAGTGATTCCATAGTAGTGTGTGTAGGGACAGTGGTGTCCTCCTAAGCAGTTTTGCAGAAAAGGACCTGGGC